CTTGAAACACGATCTTTTGCAAACTTCAAGTATTACAAAACAGACATCTCAATCACTTTTTAAGGATTACTCACAATCTTAGCTAAACAGACGTCTCATTTCACCTCGTTGCTACTGCCACAATAACAAACTCTTACATATATTTTAGTTCTGACTATCACATCCCTTGGAGGATTAAAAGCGCGCTACACAAATATATATGTCCATTATCGAGCGGATATGTTCACGGGAGCGTAGCTGTAACCCGAAATATTCATCATACACCTAACAAACGAATTGTTGCTCACATCGCTAGAAAATTCTCGTTATAGGAGCACGTATGTTTACAGTAACATAGCCATAAACCGAAATGTTCATTTTAAACCCAACAGTCGAATCATTGGTCGCAACGCGATAACGTGTTCATCTTTGGAGCGGATTTGTTGATGACAAGTTTTTTGTAAACCAAGATTATCATCAGAAAACCCAATGAATGAATCATTGGTCTTAAAAATGTAACATTTTTGGAGCAAACTCATTGATGAAAACTCGTCCGTAACCAAAGTGATCCTCAGAAAAACCCAAGAAATGAATCGTTGGTCCTATAAAAAGATATGGTTATTCTTGGAATGAATTTGTTAATGAGAACTCGTCAATTAACTAAAATACTCATTGTAAAACCCAGCAAACACATTGTTGGTTTCAATATTAAAAAGGTTTCATCTTTGAGACAGATATGTTAGCGACAACTCGTCTGTGAACAAAAATGATCGTAAAAAAATCCAACAACGAATTTTTGGTCGCGATAGCACTACATGTTCATTGTTGGAGCGAATTTGTTGATGGCAACTCATCTGTACACCAAAATGATCATCAGAAAATTCAACAAATTGAGTCGTTGGTCGCAACATCTCATAAAAATAGCAACAACGTATATCGTTAGTGTGAAATACTGAAACATAGTACACAATGTATATCGTTTAAAATGAGATACTTAAACATATTCTATCATAACGGGCATGTAAGTCAACGGTACATCGTAGGCCCTAAAACCGAAGTCAATAATCAAAACCCAACAATATTTGGCTCCTTAGCACGCTGGTCTTTAACATCCTAATACATGCACAACATCTCACCATGTGTTTCTTGGCAAAACACCTCGCCTCGTCAAGTACTCTTTACGACAAATAGAGTTCGACGATATAGGCTACAAAACAGTTTGGTATCCCATCCGACTCAACTACTCGACAAAGTAATCAAAAAAACGGTTCGACAAGTTTTAAACATCGATTCCAACTCGGTATGTTAATCTTAATAACAACTACTAACACATTTTCACTGTAACGCCCGTGAACCAAAAATGTGATTTTTGGTTGTGTGTTGATTGACACGTGTGTTTAATTCGCAAAGAAATCTGTTTGCTGGAGCTGTGTCGCGCGACACAAGAGGTTTGTGTCAAGCGACACATGCTTAAATTGGACCGTGTGGTTTTGATTTCTGATCGGGTTTGGTTTGGGTTGGTTTAGGGAACCTAGGGTTCCGTATTTAAGCAGAGAAAAGCGTTTTCTCTTGGGGTTGGTCGAAAATTTGATCAGAGAAAGAGTTTTAGAGAGTTTTGTGAGAGAAGTGTTTTCTTGAGAGAGAAACAGTTCTGCTCGGGTTTTTGGAGGAGATGATTGGCGGGGAAGATCGGATCGGATCAGAGTGAAAATTTGAGGGTAAGTTCTCCTATCTTTGCTCTTGATGTGGGTGAAAACCGCGTGCCTTTTGGATGAGTATTCGCTGAGTTATGGCCGTTGGATTGTGTGAGGTTTCTGCAGTCTCGAGTCTGCGATCAGTCCACTTTGAGGGAGGATTCCCGTCGAACCAGAGAGAATCAGGAGACGATCCTTATGCCGTTGGAAAGATCTCTCTGTCTAGTTTTTGTATTAGGTCTGTTTTCCCGTCGATCTGTTTGGAGTTAGGAGACGTTCTATACACCGTTGCGAAGCTCTTGGTGTCTAGGTTCCAGATCAGGTTTCAGACCTTGATTTGGTAAAGGGAGTCGCGAGTTATTATCTTCTGTTCAGGTCGTGTCGGGAGTGCCTTGTTTCCTCGTTTCAATCCGTTTGCAAAGGTGAGTGCGTGACCATAGGCTCTCGGATTAGGATTGTGTGGAATACGATTGATTGTGGCTTGTTTTTACTGTGTTTGGTGATTGAATTGTGCAGGATCGTGATCTGAGTCCTTGAGATTGAGCCATGAGAGGATAGGTTCAATCTT